AATTATTCTTTTCACATTTAACTGTGACTGGCTAATTTCTTATGGCTTATACCCTACTTGATACCTGATACTACTTGATACTTGATACTTGGTATTGTAGAACAGGCATAAGGATGCTATTTCATTTGTGCGTTTTTGTCAAATGACAAATGTGTATAGAACAGAGAGGTCCTCGGATTTCTCTATTCCACAGCCAATCAACAAATTTGAAAAATGTATCAATAAAAGTGCGGAAGACCCCTATTTTGTAACTGTTTTACATGCCTACCGACAGTTGTCGTTACTTTTTCACCATATAAAATATCTGCGCAACGATACCGACAATTGGTAGATGTGTAAAGACAGTTACAGAAAGGTTTGTCGCGTCGCATGCTCTAACATGTTGTAATATGCTCCTATCATAGCTCTTACTCATTCTAACGCGCTTGATAGAGTGAGTAGGAGCATGTTGGAGCTTGCGACACGAACAAACCTAGAATAGCGTCCCTGAGGTTCTATTTTTGAAAAGTATCGCATACGAAAAACTAGGGATATACTATAATATGCGTTACATATACTATAGCATTTCTCTAATTTTTTGTATGCGATACTTTTCAAAAATAGGGCCCTAGAACAGCAAAGTTCTCGGATCTTTCTATCCTATAGTCAATCAACAAGCTTGAAATTTGTCATGCGACAAAAACGCACAAATAAAATATCGCCCTATCACTGAGCGAGTTCAAGATAGGAAAGCGATTAGGTTAGAATACAGTCCCTAGAATACAAAGTCCGGCAATCGGCCCCTAAAAATGGTGGACACATTTGCGCGTTTCTGCCGCATATTTGCTCTAGTGCAACAAAAACGAGAGAGAATAAGTCCGGCACAAAGGTTATAAAGAGCATAAATAAATAAATAAAGCAAAATATTATAGTATTAGAATAGAATTATAGAATTTATTTACTTCAGCTTACAAATTTGCTAAGAAGGGGACTTGGTTTACAATTTCTTTCCTTATCACACTCATCCATCTACACATACATACCAATCCCTAACAAACATCGATATGTCGACTGTAAGTTGACTTTCCTAAGTTAGGCCTTTAAGGCTTAATAGACAATAAGCACAAGCAAGGGACAACAAGCTGTCAGAGTTCTGATATGTTCGATATTATATCCCAGAACTCTGATTGAACAGCTCGTTATTCTCTGTTTCTTGTGCTTCTTCTTGCTTATACCTATTGTGTTTAAATCTTCAGAATCGATTGTAAATCGATTTTTTGTACAGACTTCTTTCCTTCGATTTTAGGTCTAGTGCGATTACGCTCACGCTTAAATGTGGAATCATTTCGTCCTTGTTGTTTAACTATAGTTAAACAAGGATGAATGCTATTCATGAGCGTGTAGGCATGAATCGAACAGCCTAGAATAGTTAACTTAAAATCATCTTTAAAGTGAAACATTGTATGACTTAGAGACGTCTCCAAGTCATCTAAAGTCGACTTACGGACGTTTATTTTTCAGACATCTAGAAACTAAAGTCAACTCAGAATCGAGTTAGAATCGATTTTGTGCTGTTAGTAATTTTCATCTTGGGATCAATTCTGTATCTTGAGATCAATTGTGTATCTTCAAATGAGATAAAAATTACAAAAGTAAGTAAATTCACTAGAGTATTCATAATTTAATTGGTCAATTTCTAGTAATCTTTGCTCACTTTTGTAATTTTCATTTCCTTTTAAAATCCACAATCGACCCCCTTGAAACGAGATAAAAATTACAAAAGTGAGTAAATTTACTAGGTGTTGACCAATGAAATAATCAGTATTCTAGTAAATTCGTTCACTTATAATTTTCACTTCATTTCAAGATACAGAATCGATTCCTCTCCCCCCGCCCTTAAAATGAGATGAAAAAAGTAAGCAAATTCACTAGTTGACCAATTGAATTATGAATATTCTAGTGAATTTGCTCACTTTTATAATTTTCACTTCATTTCGAGATACATAATCAACCTCTAGACGAGAATCTAAACTCAGTCCAAGAAAGAGTTTCTCTCTGGTTACATCTAGAAAGAAAATATCTACTAGGTCCCTATAATTTCAAAGTTATGTATCCTGAAGCATGTTACGCGCGCTTTCTAGTTTATTATCATTCGCCGTTCGTCATTTCACATAGTTTAACGCTGCTTGCTCGAATTGATGTCGTGAACGAAGGTGACATAAATTTCTACAAAATATTGTATCTATCATTAAAATTGTTACATTTTTATCAAGCCAACTATGCTTTACTAGGACTATAGGTACTTATAAGGACTTATGGATTTCGATAATTGTTCATTAACTTGCACCATTATCCTGGAATGGTTGAACGCGCAAGGAGTTATTCTGAGAAAAATGACTCACAGAACGGCGTCGCTACGTCTAATTCGAGATCGTCAGCGCGAGATGCTCATAGAGATACGCGCCGAGAAAGCGAATGTGCTCACGAAGCTACCTCTGAAAGGTATATCGGTATTTAATAAATTCATGACCGAGGGAAAGGCTTCTATCAAGTTCAAGGAACAGAACTGTACATTGTTTCTGTCAAATGCACCTTCTTCTCAGCTGATTAATTTTTTAAAGACTATATTTATCAAGCTGACAGACCAAGAAATAAAGACTATGAAAGGTCCCTTACGGGAGAAGCTCTTTGCAAATGTACAATCAGATGGTGCTAAGGATATTAGTCCGTCTACTAATGCAGAGGTCAACAGAGCCAAGGAAAAAGCTATGGTTGTATCACGTACAACAGTCACTACTCCATCGCCGAGCGTAATCAGGAAGCGAAAACATTTCAGCGATGATAATCCTAAAGTATCCGCAGCAAAAAAGCTGTATGAGAATCCTACTACAGGAGAACTGACAGAGGAACAGGCTCAAGTCCTAAATGCAGTGCTTAATGGAAAGAATGTGTTTTTCACTGGTAGCGCAGGCACTGGAAAGTCATTTTTATTAAAGAAAATAATCTCAGCCCTTCCTCCAGATGTAACAATGGCTACAGCAAGCACTGGAGTAGCAGCCTGTCACATAGGTGGAATTACATTGCATAAGTTTGCTGGCATTGGTATGGGTACTGGCACTAAGGAAAGATGCATTCAGTTGGCCTCTCGTCCAGCTTCAGCTTCAACTTGGAGGAAAACAAAGCATTTAGTGATAGACGAAATTTCTATGGTAGATGGTGATTTTTTTGACAAGATTGAAGAAGTAGCAAGACACATGCGTAGGACAGAAAGACCTTTCGGAGGAATACAATTAATCTTGTGTGGCGATTTCTTTCAATTACCTCCTGTTTCTAAAACTAATGACAAAGCAAAATTTTGCTTTCAAAGCGAGGCCTGGCAAAAGTGTGTTCATTTAAATTTTGAATTGCGAATTGTCCATCGACAAAAGGACGATGCATTCGTAAAAATATTAAATAGCATTAGAATAGGTAGAATTACGGATGATATTGTTGATATTTTAAAGGAAACTGCAAAACAAAAAATTGAAAGTAATGGCATATTGGCAACTAGATTATGTTCTCATGTAAAAGAAGCTGATGAGATCAATGAATTTCAGTTGAATGAACTTAAAGGTGAGAGTAAAGTATATACAGCATTAGATTCTGATAGTTCTGCGACATCTATGTTAGATCAGCAGCTGCCTATACCTAGCAAATTAATACTGAAAGTTGGCGCTCAAGTTATGCTAATGAAAAATATAAATGTTAATAGTGGATTAGTAAATGGTGCTCGAGGTGTCATTATTGATTTTAAAAATGATATACCGATAATTAAGTTGCGATCAGGAACACATTATGAAGTAAAGATGGAAAAATGGACTATCAAAACTAATTCTGGTGCTGTTATACATCGAAAACAGATTCCTTTAAAGTTAGCATGGGCTTTTTCAATTCACAAAAGTCAAGGTTTAACTTTAGATTGTGTGGAAATGTGCTTGTCGAGAGTATTTG